TATGTGTGTGTGTTTTTAACACCAGTGAGGCAGGCGTCGGTAGATCGCTGGTCTTGCCGGAAGGTTAATCTCGAGGGAACGCTGCCTTATTTCAGAAAAAATTTTAGGTGCGGAGTCCGCGCATACGGACTGCGGCTAAGATTGACGTAGGAAAAAAAAACGGATCTCAGTGGAGGTCCGTATGTGCGGACTCCACACGTAAAAACTCCTTGATTTATCTACTTCAAGCAAGCGAGAAAGAGAGCCAAATACAACCGAGCCCTTAAATGCTTATTGGGAAGCAATGAATGTAGTGTCACGGACAAAAAGTCACACATCAGCTAGGTGTAGAGTCGAAAAGCAGTATTTAAGTTTTAGGTTGTACACCACACCGAAGTCTTTTGGGAGTTGATAAGTGGTATCAGAGCAGATTACTATCTGTCGGGTGTGTGGACTCTCCATGGTCTAGTGGGACCCCGGTGGAAGTCGATCCGTGCGAGGGTGTCACGTGATTGGGTGGAGGAGAATGTAAAAACAGCATTTAAGTCATGGGCTGCCCACCTCTCTTAAGGGCTCTTTTGGAAGGTGACAAGTGATATCAGAGCAGATTACTTGCTCTTTTGGGAGGTGACACTCCATGGTCCAGTGAGACCCTCGGTGGAGCCCATCTATGAGTCATCGACAAAAAGTCTCACTACGGCTTGGTGTAGAGCTGAAAAGCAGTATTTAAGTCTTGAGCTGTCCACCACTCCGAAGAGCTCTTTTGGAATGTGACATTAGGCAAGTAAAATGAAAGATAATTTACTAATTAATTCAATTAATTTCTGAAAATCCTAATATTTGATTTATATAATTTTAGAGCTCCACAAGCAAGCCAATAAAGAAAAAAGAAAAAGGGGGAGAAAAATTCTGATATGAAACTCAATTTCAATAATTAATTATTTTTCTTATTAATTAATATTAAAATTAAATAAAGAACCCAAATTTTAAAACTTATTTATGTTTAAGTTACTATTAAATCAAATATGCCCAAAAGAAATTTTAGAAGCTTTAACTCAACCCTTCAATAGCTAATATTTTTATAGAAAAATCGGCTTTGTTGGAGGAATCTTAAACACTAAGGATCAGTTTAGGGCAGTTTATTTGGTGCAATATCATTTTGAAAACGCACCTGACTTGTTTGGGTAAACTGCGTTTTGGCAGCTTGTGCGTTTTCAAAATGCTGAAAACAATATTTTCACGCCGCACCTATCTAGGTGGGTGGGAGCTTTCTGGCTGCGATCTGACTTTTTCAAAAAAAATAAAAATTTATAATAATCGTCGTACCTAGCTTATCAGCAGATTATTCAGTAAACTACAGCTGCCCCAAACATACCCTTCCAAACAGATCCTAAATGTATAGGTGTCGAGAAACGCAGACCCATAAGTATTGTATAATAATTTTGATTTTCTATCAATTATAATTTTTTTAAAAATCTATACAAATTGTTTCTAAAGTTAAATTTTATAAATAAAATGCCACTTTTATATTTTAAATTTTTTAATTATAAAATAAAATTATCAAATAATTTTCCTCCGTCCGACCTACAATTTTCATCTTGATAAATCATGACATTATATAAAAAAGTCAAATTTTATCAGAGTTTTAAATGTTAATTTGTTTGATTCTTCAAGCAAAAAATAAAAAAAAATAAAAAAAAACTTTAACTTATCAACCTAAAGTGCTAAATATGTAATATATTGATAGAAAATCAATAAAAAATCTCAATGAGTCTGATTCTACAACTCATCCTAACCAAAAAAGAGAGAAAAAGGAGCCACCTTTCATGAAAACAAAAACCAAAAACAAAATTGAACTTGAACAAGCCCTCAGCAAACAAAAAGACTAAATAATTTCAGCAAAAACAAACCTATTTCATGAAAACATGATCATGAAAAATACCATATGCTGCAATGCAAAATTTCAACTTTCTACCATGATTCATAAAACCAATATATTTACAGGAACTTGCTGTCTACAGTAGATCTCAAACAATATTACAGAATAAAACCAAAATATAAATACATTACAGGAATTTCTTTGTCTTACCAGTCGAATCAAGCCTGGAACCCTCAGCAGATTGATTATAGTTTGAAGGAACATCTTCAATGATTCTTAGGAGCTCTTGTATAGAACTATGAGTAGTAGAAGTTTGGCTCAGAAAAGAACTCTCATCTTCATGCATTTCTTCCCACAAAGGAGATTCATCCATAAGAATATTTCCAGGATTTGCATCCCATTTTCTATGCTGCCCATACTGGTAATTTTGATTAAATCTAAATATAAATTAAAAAAAAAAATACAAGTTAGGAGCTATTTAAAAATGGAATATTAAGAGAATCAATCAAAGCAAGGGGAAAAAAAGGAAAATTTGAATACATACCACTCAATTCTTATGTATTTACGTATCTAAAACCTAAAATTTCATATTTACATGCATGCCGCTCAAATTTTCATCAAAATACCACGATCACTATTTTCTTTAAGTGATGCATTTTTCATGCATAATTTTATGACACCATGGTCTGACAAATGTAATATCAAACTTTGGTTGTCAGCTATGTAAATACAGAATAATTGCATGATGTGCATGTAAATTTCCCACCAAAAAAAAAAAGATTGAGATACTTACCACTCAATTCTTAACAATTTACATGTCTAACACCTAAACTTCAATTTTTATATATATGTCATCTTTTCTATGCATGAAAAGGTGTATTTCACCTATTAAATGTTCAAGTAATGATATTTACTATGCATTTTGAAAGATTTGGAATTAGATATGAAAATGCATAAAAATTAGGTGGTATGCATGTGATGCCCCAAAAACCAAAAATGAAACCTTAACAGCAATCTCAAATTTGAGTGGACAAACATCAAATCATCAGCTTGGCTTTCATTCAATTGATTTCTTTTAGCGTGATGGATGAAACTATAGGTGCTCCATGGTTTTTCGACCGAGTAGGCACTGATTGGTTGGGCAAGCACTCGAAATGCCATGTCTCTCAATTCTTTCGTGTCACCCCCGTGGAACTTCCACCACTGTAAAACATTGATTTTGGGATTTCGAGCATCCCGCTTCGCTGTCGGAGATGAAAACTTACCCTTCTTCTCCACGAATAATAAAAACTGTACCCGAACGGTGTCTGCACGATCATCGTTTGGATGCATTTTACATATCGCGGCCATCGCTCCTTCGAATATATCATCATCCTGGTCTGTTGGTGAAAATAAGGCATTAATTCAGTTAGATATTTCATCCCATAGGTTTCCTGACGAAGGAAATTATAATGCCAAAAAAGTAAAGCAAAATTTACATTACTTAAATATCTCATACATTGCACTAATAAACCTATGTATGAAATGGTGTATTTCAATTTTAAAAGATAATAATAGTGCTATTTTTTATGTGATATTGAAAATTTGAGCGATACTTGTGTGAATATGAAAGTTTAGGTGTGAGATATGTAAAGACAAAAAAAATTGTGCGCCATATATGTAAATGCCCCAAAAGTATAATAAGGGGTATAAAGTTTGGACAAGGTTGTTATATGCTGATATTTGTCTAGTTCAAATTTTCATTCGTTTAAAACCAGCTTGTTGGAAATTTTTCATAAACATCGCGGTACATTCAACTCACCAAGTTAACCAGGGGAAAAATTTTCGACAAATGAAAATAAACAAATAACAAGGCAAATATGATAAAATTATTCTACTAATCAACTAAGCAATTATTAAATCTATTAAAAATATGATAAATTTATATACGTAGCACACAATTCTTATATAGTAATGTATCTCACACCTAAAGTTTCATATTTATGTACATAACATTCTGATTCTTTAAACTTATGCATGAAAAGGTGCATTTCATTTTTAAAAAGTGATAAGAGTGCTATTTTTTATCAAATATTAAATATTTGAGTGTTATGTGTGCAATATGAAAATTTATGTTTGAGACATGTAAATACATAACTATAGCATGTAAATGCCCCAAAAATTAAATGTAAAGAGATACCAATAAATAGTTAACACAAGTGAATAAGGCTCTATTTGTGTTCAGCTCATTCTCAATATCCATTCACTTGATAAACAGAATAAACACGAGCGTTTTAACACATGAAACATGCGTTGTTTGCAAACAACCATTTTTTTTAGACAGCCCAAATATTAATGTTGATAACACGAAAGTAAAAGGATAGTAATGTGATAATACCTGGAGGGCGCCTCTTTCTACCACCAGATGTGGAAGTTTGAATGAAGTCTTCATCATAGTATTTTGGAGTAAGAGCGTACGCCAAGCATTGCATTGGAACATCATTTTTCGTCCATCTAGAATGAAGTTTTTCCTTCACAATCATAAACATATCCTCATGTTTTTTTAAATTATCTTGAATTTCTCCCAACATATTGTCCATTCTCTCACAAATTTCTCCAATTAAGGGGCCTTCTTGGTCTGTAAATTTAATCATTTTGAATATTGGTTTAGCAATTGATAATGCCAATTGTACCCCTTTCCAAAAATCCTCTGACAAAACACCTTCCTTCACACTTTCTCCACAAAGCTGAACTTTCTCATCAAGTATAGGTAGTCTAGACCATATGTCCCATTGATCAGATAAAACAGCAGCCACTAAAGTCTCTCTTACATCAAATAAAATGTGAAAAATATAATAGAAACCATAAGGTCTTGTAGCAGATTTTAGTAACTCTAATTTTGAATAATTAAAAAAATCCTCAGCTGCATTAAAGTGATATATAATGTATCTCACAATAGCTTTTGCATTCAAATATATTTCCTTCAGCCAACGTAATTCTTTAATTACATCCTTCAAAACCAAAGTTAGAGTGTGAACAATACAGGGGGTCCAAAATATGTGTGGATATGCCTTCATTACATCCTCGCCTACAGCTCTGCAATGAGACGAATTGTCCGTAATCAACTGAACAACATTATAAGGGCCAACCTTCTCAATTGCATCCATCATGTAGTGAGTGATTCTTTTATGAGATTTCTCGATGACTAGAAAGTCAAGAGCATGTAGAAACATCGATCCAAATTGATTTGATGCAATTAGATTGATTAACGGTCGATGTTTGGTATCCATCCACCCGCTCGTTTGGATTGAAATTCCATAATGAGACCACTTTTGCTTGAAAATATCAAGCTCGCTTTCGACTCGGATCCTCTCATTTTGCAATAGAATGGTGGAAGCCCTTTCGCATGATGGGCTCTTATAACCGGGTTCTTTACTTATTGCTGATACCATTTCATCCCAATAAGGTGACCTTAGTACATCAAAAGGGATACCATTCGCACATAAACAACGAATCACCTTAGAATCAACATCATCTCGGTCTTGCGTCAAGGAATCTTTCTCGAACGAGCCTGCATATGACAAGGCTAATGAAGGTCCCTGCGACGTAGCCCCAGAGCTGGCATTGAGTTTCGATTTCTTCAATGGAACCACATTTGGTGAGCTCTCAACTTGCTCGACTTCTCGCTTTATTTGGAGTTGAAGGTTTTTGTCGGCCTTCACGATGGAACAATAACCGATCCCTTTACTTTCGCCTTTTTTATGTCCCATCAAGTGCGCGTAAACTCGAGTATAAGTGCCATGATATATCTTTTGGCAATGTTTGCATTTAAAAACATGGGAACCTCCATGAGAATTCCCACATTTCCTTCCTTTTACCACGTGTTTCCATAAAACAGTTGCATTAACATCAGTGTGGCTTTCCTCCGCTAACTGTGCCTCAAGCTCATGCTGTGCTTGATCTTCTTCGCTGTAGACCAAATTTTTATCTTCAAAAATAAAATGCCCTTCCCCAATCGATGAGAACTCGATTCTCCCATCGTCAACCCCGGGATGTTCCGGATCGAAAGGACGGTCTGCAGACATTTTCTATAGTGTATAATGATTCTGGCAACAAGAGCTAACGCAACGAATATCTGTCGAAAAAGCCTGATATGTATAATAAGATTTTAAAAAGCAAATTGATGTACAAAGTGAATGCCTGAAAATCAAGTACTAGCAAGGATCCATAGTTAATAATTTGCAATAAAAAAAGGAATATTTGCATGCATGCCACTCAATTCCTATGTGTTTACATATCTAACACCTAAACGTCAGTTTTAACAAATATGTCACCTCACTTTTTAAAAGTTAAAATAGTATTATTTTTGGTGTGACATGAAAGTGTTGGGTGGAAATGTAAAAAAGTGAAGTTAAGATGTCAGATATATAAAAACACATGAATTAGGTGGTATGTACCCCAAAAGAAAAATGACAGCATCGTTTACTATTATTGCTATACAATCTGATAATTCTTCACATAATAGTACTGTAACTCTATTGCAAAGCATGAGAACGTGCTAAAATGTATGTTGAAATTAGAATAGAATATAGGGAAATTTATATATACTTAGCACAGGTGCATTTCACTTTTAAAAAGTGGTAACAGAGCTAATTTTGATGTGATATGAAAGTTTAGGTGTGAGATATATAAATACAAAATAATTGTGTGCTATGTATGTAAATGCCCCTAGTATATAATCTTTTAGATTATATACAAATTAAAGCCTAACCACTGGTTAGATATTTCACAACAAATATGAAAGTTTAGGTGTGAATTTTGCACTCATTCGTAATCAAACAATTTAAGCTAAATACTTCACAACAAATTTTTGTCATGAAATGCTTTATTAGAAAATTTGTAAATTCATCTTACAACGTACCGTTAGATTATAGTGTTTATTTAAACAAGTGATTTACAGCCATCTTTGTTGACATCATCCTCACTCTACAAATGTCGGTCTAGATCTCCTGTAATTAGGACCCATTGGTTTTACTTTACATATATATATATATATATATATATTCGACATTTTCTTATATAGTTATTGGGTCATCCAAATCAACTCAAAGCAAAGTTCATTCTTCACTATAGAATGTTCCTCCACAGTAATGTCTTTGTGTAGCTTAGATTAGTCCCAACTCAGTTACAACTTATTTTTTCACTGATTATAATATTTTCCACATTAGTTTCTTTCGTTTTGGCTTGTGTTACTGCACGAAATATAATCCATTTAGCTTTTCTAAAATCCCAAGTAATTAGCTAAGGAAAATAACTTCCAATCTATTTTAGGTTTGGTTTGATTTTAAGAGAAGATTGTAATCTCACTCATTGATAGAATGGCACGTTCCCTCTCCATTTGCATTAATGTGAAGCCACTAGTTTTGTCCTCATCAATGGTTACAAATGAAAATTGATCTTTGCTTTGTTTTAGTTAGCATTTAGGACATTTGATTACATTCTATCTTTTTTATCACCACACAATTGTTACAATGAACATTCAAAGTGGATGTTATGAGAAATTAAATCTCCATGAATTCCACCACCATCAATTCCACTTTCATCCATATTACACTGAGTCCAACAATCCTCCATGTTGCAGCACATTATAAATGAAACTTAAAGATATACATCTTGTGTATAAGAAGCATGCAATGATTTTACCATTAGGATAGATATATTTGAAGAAAGGAATCCCTATCAACAAAAGAGCTAAAGGCTAGATCTAAATCCACCAAAGCACACTTAGGAAGGAGCAGTCATTCCCCCTTTCCAAATCATCCAACACAAATGTGACAACATGAAAATTGGTTTTTTTTTTTTTTTTTTGCCTTAACAATGGATGATTATCTTGACCATATTAAAGAAATTTTATTTAGGTCTTTTGACATGTCAAAAAAACAATTGATAGAATTGGTGTTTAACAACACCGACCACTTAACGATAAGTATTAGCTTCATCATTATGATTCCACAAATTCTAGGATGTCTGAAGTTTTTATCAATGTAACGAAGATGGTAACATCACCAGAAGGCCAAAAATGACCATACCACTTTTGCCAATCATTTGGACATTTAAGAATGATCTTATTAGCTCGCCAACATTAACTAAAACTTTGATTAAATGGTTATGGATTATCAAGTTTAATTTGGATCTTCGGACAACTTAAAGAGATAGATCAAAAGATCTAAATAGTTACTGGTTGGATCTTCGGACAAATTGGAGTTGAATAAATATATTTTCCTTTAACTATTCATGACCAACTTTTGGATAAGCAAACTACACTTAAACAAAGCTTTATGGATTCATTGATAATATGACTCAGTTTAACAAATTGATGATTTGAGGTGCAATTGTAGGAAGTTCTAGGGCTGCATCGATAGATTTTACTCCAAATTGTAGCCTAAGATCCATTGAGAACTTCTAAATCAAGAGATTTATATTCTCGAAAAAGCATTCCAGTGAACCCTTCATTTGGAATGATTCCTTGACTCATCATATCAAATTAAGCTCCCTATTACATCTAAAAACATCTCTTCACAAAAATCGATCAAGAGTATATCTTTAGTTCCTCATGGAACCATTGCTCCAAAGCTAAAGACTATGACTAGGGTTGCTTCAAACTATTAAGTATCGCTTACTTTAAACGTTGCAAAATTGGAAATTATGTAAGAAATTGCGTCAGAGTAGCCTTTTCATAGGACTGTTGAGCAGGATCAGTAAGAGGACAAAGAAGATGACATGGATAAATATGATCTGTGATAGTGTTAGTGATGTTGAGAAAGCACTTAATGGTTAACCAATAACAACTATAAAATGTGACTTGGCTATTCTACAAGCCAAAATTGACACGAAATGCACAAGAATTTTTACATCTAATTCAAAATTAATGACAAACCATGCAAACTTATCATTAATGGTGATAGTTCCATGAATTATGAGTCCACTTTTAGCTGGTGTAGGATAAAGTTCACTATTAAAATGCATCCCTCTCCCATAAGATCGCTTATGTTTCCAAGATCATGACCTCTTTTAACCAAAGATGCTTTGTCCTCGTACAACTAGCTATTTATTATGATCATATTTGGCCCAAAATCCCACTTATGGTAGTTGATCATATGCTTTTGAGTTGACCACAATAGTATGGCTTGGGCATTACTCAATTTGACTAGGTCAACACCTATGTCTTCAAGTTGAAAGGAATGATTTTTTCAAGATCTAGTCAAACGAAAAAAGAGTTTTATCTAAAAAACCAAATAAGTCATATTTCACAACACATAAGAAACCCTCTTATAGTTTGCTCCATCAAGAGTTTGAATGCAATAAGAAACCCTTGGCACTGAACCCAATTAATCTAATATTGCTCAACAGGTCCATAGATAAGATTCTTTAATAGAGCTACCAAGCAGATTGAGGTTTATGAGTGAATTTCATTCCTTGTGCGAGGGAAACCCTTGATTTGCCCTTGGGTCTCTCAATTAACCTCAATCGATAGGATTTCACTTAAATCCTAGCCAACCACTCCCCTTGTAACATTTTTTCACATATAAGATGATTCTACATGCAACGAGACAAAACTAAGAAAGAGATTTACATAATAAGAGTGCAAAAGAGTTGACAAAAAAGTGGGGGAACCTCTTCAAGGATGGTCGGTGCGCCAAAAGAAAAGGCTTGACATTTCTTTATCAAGGGAGGTGACATTTCTTTATCAAGGGAGGTGACATTTCTTTATCAAGGGAGGTGACATTTCTTTATCAAGGGAGGTGACATTTCTTTATCAAGGGAGGTGACATTTCTTTATCAAGGGAGGTGACATTTCTTTATCAAGGGAGGTGACATTTCTTTATCAAGGGAGGTGACATTTCTTAATCAAGGAAGGAAAATAAGCATTAAGGGATTAATTGAAAAAAAAAAAATTGTTGTAATCACTCTTAGTACAAGAGGAATGAATTTTTAGAACTTTAACTCGGCAAACATTTTCTTTTATCATTATAAAAGGAAATAAAGTACTAACTCCAAACTATGTCCAAAGAATTTGGTTCATATGGGAGTGGAGGAAGCTGCGGTCACAAGTAAATATGAAAGAACTCCCTTTATTCAAGATGGGTGAATACGTTAATGAAAATGCCAAAAAAATCTTAAATTAAATTAGAAATGAATATAACTCTCCGAGAAGGAAGAATGAGAACATCAAAAGTCATCATATGATGAAATACACAAATCATGATTAGCTTGTTATCATCTCCAAATCAAGATATTCAATCAAGGGTTGTATGGTAACTGCTTTAGCAGTTTTAGTAAATCCTATAATTCTGGATTTAATACAACCTGCCAACAACAGGATTTAATAAATTTGGGATTTAAGGCAAATCTGAGAAGGAATTAAGAATAAACTAGATTTACAAAATCATGGATTTAAAATTGTCTTTTTTTACTCGTAAGATTCAAGTTAAGTACTACTTAAATCGGTTACGATACTGCCCCTCAGACTGGGAATTAGATATCCTAAAGTTCAGTATAAGAAAGTATTATACAAAAACAATAGTCTCAGAAGTACTTCAAATGACTAGGAAATATTCCATAATGGCATGTGGATAATCAAATACAATCATTCCTCATTTCTGCGTTATTTCAAGAATGAACTGATGTGGAATAGTAGCAAAAACCATTAAGCAGTAGGTAGACCAACAATGTCTTCAGATCTAACCAGGTATCTCAAACGTTTTGAGATTGTTTAACTTCAATAAACAGAAGGTCAAATTTTATTTTTCTCTACTCACATGACCGAGAGTGATGGGCAGCACCGAAATGAAATTTCATGTGTTCCTAGCTCAGGAAATCCAATTCGATCTCCACAAATTGCATCACGGAAAAAGTTTTGGGAATTGATTACCAAAAAGTTTATATTGTCCCTACCCAACTTTCAATGATTGACTCGAAGCGCGAAAGTTTCCAGTGAACTGCTGGATGGAGCGGGGAAGATCCTTTGAGTCGGAATCACATCGAAGAGTTCAGCTCGAAGAATCGGCGGCAGGGTTACTTCGGCTGGTGGCTGCCTTCGTGGAAGATAAAAAGAGGGAACACTGAGGATTAAGGGTTTCCAGCGCCATTAGCGTCGTCGCCTTTGATAAGGGAGATATAAACCTAATGGCGGGGAGATTAAGATCAGTCGCATCGACGATTGTTAGGGTTTCGAGTTCTCCGACATTGGCAAAGGAGTGTCACACCTACGTGTATCCGGACACGAGACACATAGAGGGCATTAGGGGTGGGTGTAAACGCGGCTGTTTAAAAAGTGTGTTCGTGTTTGACTCGTTTGTTTAACGAGGCGAACACGAGTTGTTAAGACATAAGACAATAAGAAATTTGAGCAATATTTAAAAATTATTATTTATATTGAGCCGAACAAGAGTTGTTCATGAACCGAGTCCTTTTAACAACCCTAATAATATAGCCATAAGACATAAGACAATAAGGATTTGAGCAAGATTTAAAAAAATTTGAACAATATTTAAAAATTATTATTTATATTAAACATAACTTGAATCAAATTTAATAATTTTTATTCTATTTTCTTAATCAATATTTTAATTGATTATAAAT